ACTGTTAGGCACAGAGTAGGAACCTAACAGCTGACCCAACCACACCCAACACCTGGCACTTGAATCAACAATTCCAGGAAACTGAGCCCAGGACATCTTCTGAGAACTAGAGGTGTGCTAGAACACCACAAATGAAGACTATGTGCCACCTAGACCCTGCCACCAATCTGATTTCACTTGAGGGAGACAAGCCAAAAATTCTAGAAAGGAAGAGAAAGAACAGAAAGCCCAGGGGTTCTCTCTCACTGGCAAGAGAGACGCCCGCTTCTCCTCTTCTGAGACATGTACTTTCAGAGCTTAATAAGCTACTTGCTACTTTGTCTTTGTGTGTGCTGTTTGTGCCAACCTCAATTGGGTCTTGTGAGACCTGCAGAAGTCAAGTTACTGAACCCTAACAGTGACCTCCGGGTCAAATTTTGGTTGAAGATTTAAAGACCATCTTAGGACAGTCTTATGGAGTCCTGTGATCTCAACCAATCCAGGAAGTCTGGATTTTTTAAGTTCCACATTTTTCTCTCATTCTATCAGGATCCATCTGTAGTCAAGCACCATCTACTACTTCTGGTACTCTTCAGTTTTTGACTTTCAGGTTTCTGTTTGGAGAGGCCTTCCCTGACATTCTGTATTCAAGGTAGCCTCCCTCTGTTTTTGTCTGATCACCGCAACCTCTTCATTTTGTGTTGCCAAACTTAAGCCAATTTGTAATTATATACTTGAGTATTTACTTATTTGTTTTCTCTCTCTTCCATTTGTTTAGATTTCATGGAGTGGAAAAAGTTGCTGTTGAGTTGATTCCAATTCATGACTACCCCATGTGTGTCAGAGTAGAACTGCGTTTCATAAGGTTTTCAATGGCTGAGTTTTCCTAAGTAAATGTTGCCTCTGTTGTTGGTGGTGCTAAGTGCCATCCAATCCGTTACAACCCATAGTAACCCTGTATGGGGTTTCACTGGTGAGTTTGAACTGCCAACCTTACAGTCCAGTGCATTAACCCACAGAACCACACCAGGACTCCGCTGTTGTTAAGTACCATCAAGTCAGTTCTGACTCACAGTGACCCTATATAGAGTTTCTGACTAGTGGCTAGTGGGTTTGAACTACTGACCTTATGGTTAGCAGTCTAGTGCTTATACTACACCACCACATCAGGACTCTAAGAGGACTGAAACTTCCAATCTTTCAGTTAGCAGCTCAGTGTGTGAACTATTTGCAACAACCAGAGAATCCTTAAGTTCCAGGTTCCCAGTGCTTAGCAGAGAGCCTGGTACAAGGTAGGAACTCTCTGAATGAAAGAATGAACTGACAAGGAGGGAAGGGAGGCTATGATCCGCGTTATAGGAAAGCTCCCTGGATGGAATCAGTTTGGCAGAAAAGTCCGTTTTCACATGTGTAGGATCCAGCTGTTTCGAGAAATTCAGATGTGGGTGGATTCCAGTTATTGTTTTGAATTTTAGTGGGATGCTACCCCTGTGAGTCCTCCATTTACAGAAAACTCCATGTCTAATATTGCTGAGACAGAAAAAGTCTAGAGAAATGAGGTAGCCGAGAATCCAACCTTAAACTTCTGCTTTTTAGTTCTTATATTGTCTTTGTTACACAGATTATGTATGTCTCCATTTCATTTGTGAAAGAAAGGTTGGACTGAAAAGATGAAAGTCCCTTCCAGTTTGCATAAGTATGCTTTTAGCTACAAGTAACACAGTACTGGACCAATAGTGGCTTAAGCAATTAAGACATTTTATTTCTCTTATAATAATATAGATCCTTGGTGGTTAGGGTTAGTCTGGTGGCTCAGAGATGTCCCCAAGGACCTGGGCTTTTTTCTTCCTTCTTTGCCATCCCCGATCTTGGTTTTGTCTTCAGGCTCTTCTCCATGGTCCTAAGAAGGCTGCTGCGGCTCTAGACATTACAGACTCCCATAAGAACACCCAAAACAGGAGAAATGGGGAAAGGAGAAGGGCTCTCCTTATGGGTGCTCTCCTTTTATAAGTAGAAGTCTTTTCTGGAAGTCCCCAACAGACTTCTTTTTTTTTAAATCTCATTGGTCAAAACCACTTCACATTATGTACTCGAAACCAATACTGACAAAAGACGATGGAAGCACTATATTTGGTTACAATTCATCCTGCAGAGCTGGGCTGTATTCAGCTGCCAGACTACAGTTGAGGCCTGTGAACAAAGGAATAATACGGACACGACTATTGAGTAAGTAGGCTGCCTTACAGGTCTGCAATCTTGGGGCTCTAAGTGCTTGTCCTTTAGGTGGCTGCCCTAGTATTATCACACAGGGACTGTTTTCTTCACATCTCTAAGTGAGGCAATGGCTAGGAGGAACATTTTCTGCTACCCTAAAGATTTACAGTCTCATTCACCCTAGGGACACAGTTCTGTTCTGCCCTATAGGGTCTTTTTGAGTCAGTATCTTTTGCTAACAGTGGGTAAATTATGAGGCAATAAATAACGAAGCAAACATTACCAGCCCTGCTGCCTGCCTAGGCCACAACCATCAGGTATTCCCAATAGGCAGAATCTTACTTTAAAGCGGTTTGATAAATCACAGAGCAGATCAGAAATATATTCATAATGGCCATATTTTTGGTGTGAACTCCCTATGAGCCAGGCCCTGTGCAGGCCCTGAGAATACTGACACCAAGGGATGAGGTTCCAGTCCTTAAGCAGCAGATATTCTAGTTGAGGGGAAACGCATGTAAACAGATAAACAGGCTTTTTTGGGGGGAGGTGGGTAACAGAGTAGGAATAGGATTCTCTACCGTAGCAGTGATCAGGAAAGGGGGATGATCCTTTAAAGTGGCACAGACATTTTATCTGGTGTTGAGAGCCAGGGGGTGCCATCCATCCTGAGTGGCGACAGGCCCTCTGGATGTGGGGCTGAGGCTTGGGGGAACTCTGTGGGTCATGCCCAGCGAGAGGTGCCAGCTTTATCCTGCAAGCAAAGGAAATCGGACACTTCCCAAAATCAAATCTTAATGTAATAAATACCAAATTATTTCCCTTTCCCGCCCCTCCCAACCCTCTAGGGGTTACAGAGAGATTTTGTTTCACTTACTCAATATATTACAGTGAATAGTTATTAATCAGCTAGTTTATAGCAAAAAAATGCAATAAATGTTACTAGTGATTTTAAGTAACTCTTAATGGTTTAAAACTTACTGGAAAAAGTATCTGTTTAATATTTGCTAAGTGGTTTCCCACCTTTCATCACCTCTGCTGTTACTGTCTCTGTACCATTAGGAAGACTGCTAGAACACTTGCTCTCCAGAAGTCAATGGGGGAGGTATCCAAGGATGATCCTGCCCACAGTCAGAAGCAAACCTCTTGCGTTACTTGTGGGAGACCAAAAGAATCCTTGCCCAGAGCCAACAAGAAGTGTGGCCTAACTGCAGCTCTCCCTTTGGGCTTGTGAATGCCCCTTAAAAGCAGGGACCTTCATGTGTCCTGTTCACTAACGTGTCTGTATGACCCAGAACAGTGTCTTACAGAAAGCTAGATTCAGAGGTCGGTAGTTAGGTAATTAGAAAGCACACCTCTAAAACTTTCTACCAATTCTTATTGACCACAGTTTTTGTCACTAAGCTAAGAATGAAAATCTTACTTAATTTGGTAACGCTAAGCGGTTCATATCCTGCTTGCATGCCTTCAGCATCGGGGGTAAAGGTATGGTGCCCTCTGAGGATCAACATTAGAGGAATCTAAGGGAAGTGGCACAAAAACAGAGGTGGGTCTTGGACTGTGGCTGCAGAGTATTGTAAACTGATCGTAACGGATGATGTTCTTTTGAACAGGTATAAGAGTTTGGTCACTGGGACCTGGGCAAGAGGGGTCATTGCTGTCCTCTGGGTCCTTGCCTTTGGCATTGGATTGACTCCTTTCCTGGGATGGAACAGCAAAGACAGTGCCACCAACTGCACCGAGCCCTTGGATGGAACTATGAATGAAAGCTGCTGCCATGTGAAGTGTCTCTTTGAGAATGTGGTCCCCATGAGCTACATGGTCTATTTCAATTTCTTTGGATGTGTTCTACCCCCACTGCTCATCATGCTAGTGATCTACATCAAGATCTTCATGGTGGCCTGCAAGCAGATGCAGCGCACTGAGCTGATGGACCACTCGAGGACCACCCTTCAACGGGAGATCCACGCAGCCAAATCCCTAGCCATGATTGTGGGAATTTTTGCTTTATGCTGGTTACCAGTACATGCTATCAACTGTGTCTCTCTCTTTCAGCCAGCTCAAGCTAAGTACAGGTCCCAGTGGACAATGAACATGGCCATTCTCCTATCACATGCAAACTCAGTTGTTAATCCCATTGTCTATGCCTACCGGAACCGAGACTTCCGTTACACTTTTCACAAAATCATCTCCCGGTATATTCTCTGCCAGACAGATGCCCTTAAGAGTGGGAATGGACAGGCAGGGGGCACAATGGGCTCCTGATGCGGCCCTGTGACCTAGGCTCTGGCCTCTTTGAGAAGGCAGCACAAACTCACAATACACAAAGGGACGTGGCATGACCGGCTGATTCTCATTGTGAAAAGGCTACACCTCACAAGCATATGGGCTGCCTCTTCTAAGTACTTCCCTGGAGTTAACACACATCTAGCTAGTATGTGTATGTTATTAGGAGGCTCCAAGGGTTGACAAACATATTTTGTGGCATTTACAGTTTTATTTAGCTGCTCTTACTAAGTGGATGATGCTGACATGTGAATGGATTCTAAAACACAGGTGTGTTTTCTTTTAAGAGTCTTTTTCATAGTAGGAAATGATTGGAACCATTTTACTGTGAAACACTGTGAATTATTTTAATGCTAATATTTTTAACCTAAATGCAATGAAAAAATAAAAAGTTGTGTATACTAAAATTGTATACTTGTTCCTAGGAGAAGTGTAATTAGGAAAATTAAAGTATATTTCTTCAATTGAGAAACTGCTGTATTAATTTAGGGAAATGATACTGTCAAGTTCTTTAATAGAGTATCTTCAGGTAACAATTTTGAGCTCCTTTCTTTGCCATTTACAGAAAATGTACTCTCGGGAAAGAACTGAAGAACTAGGATCACTCCTCTGACAGATTTCATTTTCCCCTTCTGCTAGGTAATATGTTTGACTTCTATCCAAGTTCAAGTTTGGCCAAGTTGTGGGAACCCAAAGTGTGAAAACTTTTCTGAGTAAACTGTGTGTGTATGTGTGTGTGTGTATATTAGGTGAAATAAGAATGAAACTTTTAACATTGAAGCTTAGGTGTGAAAGAGATGCACTTGTTGCCTATACTTTACCGCAAAGACTAAATTTATACCCAAACCAAACTTCTAAATAGAAAAATTGTGATAATTTGCTACATCTCAAAGTGACAGAATGCTCTACTGCCAGCCACAGAACACTACAATGTCTGTGGCCTCGGACTTTTCACAAAGCATTCACTTCGTGGAGTGAAGGCTTTGTAGGCTGTAAAGTCATGTATTTATTTATTTATTTTAACAATATTGTGTTTTCAGTTTAAGGTTCCCATTCAGTAATTTCTACATAGCTTCTTCAGTGACACTGGTTACATTTTTTACAATGTGTGAACAGTCTGTTTCTGTTCTCAATGTTTCCATTTCTAATAATCTAGTTTCCCTGCCTGTTACATTCTCACCTTTGTTTTACAGTAATTGTCTACCATTTGTACTCATATAGGGGATTTTTTTAAAAAGGAACATAGTACTTACGGGTAATATTCATTGTTTTTGAGCCAATTTGTTATTTAGCTACAAGGTAATCTCAAGGGTTTGCTTCAGTTCAAGGTCTGACGAGGACCTTACAGCAGTAGACTTGGGAACTCCTCCAGTCTCAACCCATCCAGTAGGTCTGTTTGGTTTTTTCCCCATAAAGAACTATGAGCTGGTGTTTCCCATTTTCTCCCATTCTATCAGGGTCCATCTACTGTGGCTCTAATTAGAACAGTCTGTAGTAGTAGCCAGGTACCATCTCGTTCTTCTGGTTTCAAAATAGAAGAGGCCACAGTCTGCATGGACAGTCTGTCGTGTAGACTAGTTTCTTCTTTGAGCCTTTCGTTCCTTCTTCCACTTTTGTTTCAAATGAGTTGAGAGCAACAGTTGTACGTTACATGGCCACTTGTGAGGCTTGCTTTTAAGACCCCAGACACAACTCACCAAACTAGGATGCAGAACATAACAAAGTATTTGGTTATGTCTAAGAAAGTCTCTATAACTGTGCCCCCATGTACTTTATTAGGTATATGATTGTGTGAGCATACAGTTAACAGATGCAGACACATAAACACCAAAACCAAACCTGTTGCCATCAAATTGATTCCAACTCTTAATGACTCTGGAAGACAAAGTAGGACTATGTCATAAGGTTTTTAAGGCTGAAATCTTTATGGAAGCAGATTGTCACAATCCTTTGCCCATAGGAGTTTGGAACCGACAAACTTTCACTTAGTAGATACACTACTGTGCCCCTAGGACTGCTCACAGATACACACCCATATATGTATCCATACACACCCATGTATGTTGTTGGTAAGTGCTGTGGAGTCAGTTTTGACTCATAGCGACCCTGCATAGGGTTTCTGAGGAGCAGCTGATGGGTTTGAATTGCCAACCTTATAGTTAGCAGTCTAGTACTTATCCAATACACACACATGAGGGTGAGTCAGAAAGTACTGGTACAAAATCATAGAAACCTTCATTAAACAAAAATATCAAAATATGAAGCTATTGTTTTTCAACACATATCTTCCATCTAGGTCTATATACTTCTGAAAGCAGTCTTTCCTTCTCTCTAACCCGTCTCCAAATAATTCTGTGCTCTTTAATTTACACCCCAGCAAAACGGCAGTTTGGGCATCCTTGGGAGACTCAAATCATGTTCCTTTTAAATGTTCTTTGAGCTTTGAGAACAAAATGACATCTGAAGGGGCAAGATCAGGGCTGTGGGGGTGCATGAGGTAAAGGTTCCCAGTGAAATTCTCATAGGACAGCCCTTGCTCCCATCCAAAATCAAGCAGGCTCTTTGTCGTGATGGAAAACAATTCCTTGGCACAACTTTCCTGGCCTTTTTCTCACCAATTGCAGTTTTCAATTTTTTAAAAAGTACCTTTAAGAAACTCATAATAAGTTCCTGTGATTGACCTGTGTGGAATCCCCAAACAGCCACCAGAACCTTTTTAACAGACCCCTGTGACTTGAATTTAACTGGCTCAGCAGATCCTCTGGGAAGCCACTGTTTGGACTGGTGCTCTACTTTGAAGGTACCCTGATGAAACTAAGACAAGTGTATTACTGAGAGAGCTTGCCTACCACTGGTAGCAGAGACACATGGAAACGTTTTGTCTAGACTGACCCACGCGTGCATAAACTGGAACCCATGTAGCAATACTTTCTGAAGAAAGATGAGGTTTTCTGCTCCTGTAAAGATTCATACCCTTGGAAACCCTATGTAGGGTCGCTGTGAGTCAGAACCGACTCCATAGCACACTACCACCTTATGTATATATGCCTACATACAAACACACATCTTCTCACACATTTTTTGGTTGTTTTTGCTGTTTCAAAATTTTTTGTGCTATGTTCTTGTTAAATGCTGTTGAGTCAGTTCCAGTAGCAATTCCCAACAGGTCCTTTTTAAGTGACATCATTTACCTTTGTCAAACTGTCTACTCTTCACCATCATTAAGTGTTAACTTTGATATCACAAAATTAACAAGTGTCTACTATCTAGAGAGTGAGATCCTCCTACCTGGATCATCTAGTTTATCTATTTGTTCACTGCTTTAATCTTTTGTCTTATCCCAACAAGTTTATTGAACCTTTCCAGAGACAGGAAATCCTTGTCCTTCTAGGATCCTATTGTGGCTGTGAACCGCTTACCTATTAAGAAGTTCTCTTTCTATACTGAAAGCTGTCTCCATTACTCCCTTGCTTTCTCATGGAGTCTGAATGAGTCCCATCTCACTCCATATAACAGCATCATTTGCCTTTTCTTCAGACTGAAAATCTCTAGAGCTTCTTTTCAGGATATGATTTTGAGTCCTGGCCCATATTTGGTCTGTTACAAGGCTCAGAAATGCATACAGAACAGTAACACTTCTTTTGTTCTGGTTAGCACCTCTCTACTTAAGCTTTAAGGAGCTCTGACAGCGTAGTGGTTACAAATTGGGCTGCAAACCGCAAGCTCAGCAGTTTGAAACTACCAGCTGTTCCATGGGAGAAAGATGAGGCTTTCTGCTCCCGTAAAAATTTACAGCCTTGGAAACCCTGTACGAGGTCGCTATGAGTCGGAACCAACTCCATGGCACATAACCATCACCACCACTTAAGTTTTGGAGTCCTGGTGTGGCACTGTAGGATAAGTGCTGGACTGCTAACCACAAAGTCGATGGTTCAAACCTACCAGCCACTCCTCAGAAACCCTACATAGTATCTCTATGAGTCAGAACCAACTTGACGGTACTTAACAACAACTTGAGCTTTGAATTATGGTGTTGGTCAAGAATATTCGCTATACCATGGACTGCTAGAGAAATGAACAGATTTGTGTTGGAAGATGTACAGCCAAAGTGCTCCTTAGAAGTGAGGATGTTGAACCTCTGCCCCATATGCCTTGTGTGTGTCACCAGGAGGGACCAATCCCTGGAGGACATCATATGTGGTAGAGGATCCATGAAAAAGAGGAACACCTTCAGCAAGACGGCAGACACTATGGCTACAACAGGCGCAGACCGGGATGACTGAGGATGGCACAGGACTGGGCAGTGTTTTGTTCTGTTACACTTGGGGTCTCTATGAGTTGGAACTGAATCAATGGCATTTAACTACTTAAGCTGTTTTGACACCAATACCACAGATGCTTGGAGCTTACTAAAACTTTACCTCTTTAATTGTATTTATCGTCTGGTTGCTATTTAGTCATATCTGTGTGCTCTGATCTTTGACTGCTGCAGAACAATTTTCTGAACCCAAGGGAAAAAAACAATCTTTTAAAATATTACCTTATTCAGAATGGCCTACATCCAACCAACTTTGACTCCTACATGGTATTAGGATTTTTTTCGGCGTATAACCTGCCTGATTCCATCCAGGAAAATGATTTTATCCAACACTGGTTGGATTTTTCATGGGGAGACTTGTACAGACTTTCTAAGCATACACTATGGGTCCAACGCTCAGCTCCTCCCGCAAGCCAGGAGGGAAAAGAGACCAAGGATTCACAGCAACAAGAAACCTTTGAGTGATCCATTCCAGCCGTCTTCCATGTGTGTACCATGACTATTTTAAACATATTTCTCAATGGGACTTCTATTTTAAAAAGATAATGATGCTCAATTTGTACCTTTATGTTCTTCTTCCTCCTCAGTCAGTAATATGTCAGTCAACTGCTTGTCAGAGACGCTTAGTTGCTGGCAGGTGCCCATTACTTGACAAAGATAAACTGCCAAGAGATGCTTGCACTGGAATATAAACACACCGGCCTATTAGAATCGGGCAGGGTCAGTGCTAGCCAGCTATCATTATGTCTAGTGGGAACGTACTGGGATATACTACTTATGGGCCTTCAGCTTATGGTCTAAAAACTGCCAAAAAGGAAGATCAGACCAAAGTATTCTCTGAAAAAGTGAGAGGGGCAAAGGAGTTGCTTTGCCTGCTGCTTTGGGAGATAGGGTAGCTCCAGTTGGCAAGAGTTTACATAGTGTAACCAAAGGTGAAAACCAAGACAGGCTCCTTATGTTTGTCCTAAGTTGGACTTCATTTTCCTTACCTTCAGAAAGGTAATGACTAATATTCTTTGAGGCACTGTCCGGCTAAGTGCCTCTTTTAAATTTGCTCATTTAAATCTGACAGCTACCCTATGAGGGCTGGTATTATCCCCATTTTAATCATGTGCTCAGAGTTCATCTCTTAACCACTGTGATATTTCCTGGGGAGGGGGAGAGGGGGTGGAATAGAGGGGAGGAAGTGGCAGCAAAACTCATATATATGTGCCTGCACATACCTCTAAGGAGACAATGGGGACAACTACAGGACAGAGCTTTAGATCTTGATGGAATTCGGGTCACTATTGTCATGTTACAGCTGAAATAAACATGGCCTCATGTACAATGGGATACCCAACTTGCCACTCAGTTCCCAAGATGTTTTCTACTTTTAAGAAGTTCTGCCTTAAGGAAGGGAAGAACACAGTGGCTGCTATAATTTTCTTTTCTGACAGGACTTAACAACTACTACTCTCAGATGACTAGTGCCTTTTCCTTTGGAATAAGGAGATACATGAGTGTGTCCCATTCTAGATGCTCTGGCCTCCTATGAAATTGACAGAGGAATCACTGTGCTCTTTGACCCATGCAAAAGACAAGTGCAACCAAGTTCCAGGCTGATAGCTAGTGTGGGAAGACACTAGCTCTCAGCTGAAGTTGGGGATTTGCAAAGCTGACCATCTCCAATTCAGCTCCTAATTCCTTATTGGGCTGTTTAATTCCTTAGTGACAACTTTAGGGATTTCCTTATTGTGCTTCTCAAAGCTTCAACCTTTTAAATAATAATAATAAAAGGCAGGAAACTGATTGCTTACAAAATGATCTTGTTTTCAGAAGGTAAATCCAAAAGAGATGACAAGCTATATAGTCAAGGATAATAAACGATAGTTTGTTTCAACATGTAGTAAAATCTCTATGGTATACATCTCTCAAACCACACAATAAGGGCAAACTCCCTAATTCAGTTGTAAGGGAAGAGCCTTCCCCATCCTCACCAGTAGGCGGTCACTCTTCCGGAGCACTGAGAAGGCAAATGCAGGACATGAGCAGTAATGACAAGACACCAAACATATGTAAGTCTTACCAGAACTTCCAAGTACCTAGAAAGAAAAGGACAGATCGGATCAGATAGGATCACAAAGTGTGCTGGAAAACCAAGTTCTTCCCTTGTATTTATTTATATGATAGCTCAGAGTTGCTCTTTAAATTGCTCTGGGAAGAACTGCTTTATATAAAACAGGAAACTCAACTTCCCTCTGTGAAGATTCTTCCTCATCTCTCAGTGCTCTTTATTTGATGAAATCATACAACAGAACTGAGGAGTTTCAGGCTTAGTTAGACCACCCACAAAGACCGTTTTATTCCTATACTTAGTGATTCATAGGGCACCCCCATGGGCTGTGTATGCTCATAAAAACTGATGTTTCATAGCACATCTGTAATTTCTAAAGCATCTACCACACACCTATGAAAACTACCAAATCATGTAGAGTGAACAGGAAGACAGTCTTGAGAAAAAGAAAGTGGGAATAGGCTTTTGGGGAGACAATAAAGCAAAGAACCCTGCAAAAGGGATGCCTCAGCTACACCAGACGGAGGTTCTCGGGGGAAAAAGCAAGCTGTGGGTGGTCTGTCTACTCATCCAGAGGTGGAAAGAAAGACCTCAGATATATTGTTGCTGTTGTTAAGTGCCGTCGAGTTGGTTCCAAGCCGCTCACTTGGACACCCTGTGCAGGGTCGCTATGAGTTAGAACTAACACGATGACACGTAACAACATGCCAGTACAGATTTTGGACTAACAGCAAAATCCCTTGTGGGGTTGCTAGATGACCAGAAATGGCCAATTAACGAGAAATACGATACCTACTGTATCCTTAGAAGATTTCAGCCAGTTAAAAATTAGGTAGTAAAAAAACACACCTTAATATTCCTAAGGGTTCCCAAAGAGCAGCTGGTGAGTTTGAACTGCCAACCTTGTAGTTCAAACTGACCTATGGTCGGTCCAATGCTTTATCCTACAGCACCACATCAGAACCTAGTTAAGAGGGCAAGTTCAAGATCAAACAACCTTGGCAGCAGTCAAAAGGGACAAAAAGGAGAGTTACTGCAAAGTCGCTTTAAAGCTTTCAAGCTCACCAGTAACTCTTTGGAAACCTTATGTAGGGCACTATGGGTTGGAACCAACTCAATGGCACTTAACAACAACGGGAAATAGATCAATCAGACTGATTTGAGGGCAGTGGGTTTTTGGTTATGGGGCAAGGATAAAGTACCTGCAATGTAATGGACATAACCATGGAGGGCTTCATTGAGGGAGCTTTATTCCTAGAATTCATTTCCAAATTGGAGGTGTAAAATTATCATTAGTTTCCAAGGGAGGTAGAAGCATCTTGGGGGTTATCTTATAATGAATTGCTGCTGAGGGATATGCCACGGGGCCTTCAAATCAGTTTCAGGCTTTCCGATGGCAATTTCAATCGTTCAAAAAGCCAGACCTTATCATTACAGTGTCAGCACTCCCTTCTTCCCTCCGACTCCTCAACAAGTAACAGGTAAGGCTACAACCAAAGAAATAGTAACTAATATGTGTTCTGCACATGTTTCTAACATGTCTGGTGATTAACATCGTGGTGTCCTGGCGTGAGGCTGTAGGGTAAGTACTGGACTGCTAACACAACGTTGGCGTTTCAAACTCACCAGCCGCTCCTTGGACACCCTGTGCAGGGTCGCTAGGAATTGGAACCAACTAGATGACACTTAACAACAACATGCCAATACAGATTTTGGACTAACCGCAAAATCCCTTATGGGGCTGTTGTTGTTAAGTGCTTCTGAGTCAATTCGGACCCACAGCGACCCTGTATAGGGTTTCCAAGGAGAAGCTAGTGAGCTTCAACCACTGACCTTGCAATTCAAATGACTGTAGTGTGACGCATTAGCCCACAGCGCCATACCAGGACTCCTTTATGGGGTTGCTAGATGACCAGAAATAGCCAATTAATGAGAAATAAGATACCTACTGAATCCTTAGAGGATTTCAACCAGTTACAAATTAGGTAGTATAAAAACCAAACCTTATTATTTCCTACCTTGTGGTACAGATATGTTGCATCACTTATGATATACCACTGAGAATCAGTGGAGGAATTTCCCTAGAGTGTCTGGAAATGTCAATGGAGAACATTCATAGATGGTTTCCCACTTAATCCTGGAAGAAAAGCCACCAAGACCAGCAGTGACATGAATGATTCTTGAGTGTTCAAACTATTACCAATGAATAAAACTTGGTATTTTTTCTTCCTTTAGTTCTCTTCTGAGGCATTTCTCTCTAGGTTTAAGCTTGAGCAGACATATATGCCTCTGGAATTATACACTGGCTTGAATGGTTCACTGGTTCCTTCTTATTGTGGGTCCCCAATCCTTCCTTGCCTGATCCTTTCAAAGGCTGACCAGGACTCAAAATAAAATGTTCAACTGCCTGAAGCAGTCAATACTGTAAAGAGATGGTGAACTTTGAATCTACTTTTTACTTATCCAGTAATAGACCACTAGTGAACCTAGTAATCAGGTAAAATCTGAGAAATGTTTAGAACTGGAAATTGACCTCAGGGATCATCTAATTCAGTTCATTGACCCGTCAATGGAAAAATGACCTTATCTTCCAGGAATTACTCCTCATTCTCCCACTCATCGCCTGGAATGTTTATCCCCAGAAGGAGAGCTTTTAAACAAATGAAGCATGCAGGAAAGAGGACACTCAGGTCCATGACTGGACTTGTAGGAAACTCACTTGGAGTAAGCTGACTGCTGTCAGTTAGTTCTCTGGGTGTGTGTGTGTGGGTGTGTGTGTGTGGGTGTGACCCACCTAGATGATCAGCCCTCCAAGCCTCTTAGGACCCTTCACAGTGGTAAACTGCATTCCCCAGTGTTCTGTGCTTCTCTCTGCAACGGGATTATACATCCCTGCCCTGTTAAATACAGGCTGACTCTGCGATCTGGCTTAGCCAGTACATTTGAGTAACCACGCAAAAACATTACAAATTGGTGTGTGTCATCCTCTCTCATCGTCTGCCATGAGGCTCCCCCACCCCAATGATCTACATGGGGGCGACTCCAACAACTGGGACCATGGAGTGAAGATGTTCTGAGCAGAGGCATAACTGACATGTGATGGTATGCAGCATGAATGATAGAAAATGACTTTTGAGGCCTTGGAGACTTGGGGCCATTGTGCCACTGTATAACAACCTTTCCCGTGGATGCACCCTCCCCGTTCCTGAGTGAATCAAAGAAGGTATCAAAAGCATCTCAGGCAACAGCAACATGATGACTTACACACTAACCCTAGAGGGCAGTATAAATGTTAGAAGGTTGACTCAACGTTATCAGCTCAGAAAACCCTTGAATTCACCCAAACTCCAGTTAATTCTGATTCATAGTGACCCTGTATAAGTTATCTGAGGCTATAAATCTTTGTGGGAGCAAGAAAACCTCATCTTTCTCCTGCTGGAGTGGTAGAGAGCTCAAATCACTCATCTTGTGGTTCGCAGTCCAGTGTTTATCCTACAAAGCCCCCGCGCTCCCCATACAATGATGGTCATTGTCGTGTGCGGTCGAGTCAGTTCTGTCTCATTGACCCTGTATACGGTTTCCGAGAGCAGCTAATGGGTTTGAACTGCCAACCTTTGGTTACTGTGGTTAGCAGTCCAATACTTATCCTACAGCACCATATCAGGGCCCCCTACAATGATGGTAGTCAGGTCAATTTGAGGGTATATAAGATACCTACAAAGTCCAAATTGACTGTCACAATTCTAGGAAGTTACCATTTTTTATGACTAATAAAACAGGAAGTAAATGAAGAAAACTAAACAACTCATAGTGACCACTGGGAGGAACAAAAAGTCAGTAATAATGAAAATATTTTAAAACAAAATCATGATCTTATCTAATCATTAGATCACATAACTAGAGGAAGTTGGAAGTCTGCTTGCTCAGGTCAGGTGTTACACTGATATTGGAACTAAGACAAAATAATCTGACAGTAAAAGACAGAAGGGTAACTGAAGGCCCTTTTAGGAAATGCTAGAATATTTTAGCTACATAAAAACACCGTCAAGTCACAAAATTAAAAAAAAAACAAAAACACCAAGAAGGACAAGACATACCTCTTCAAGTACATGCGATATTATTTCTCAGCTCTGACTACTTAGAACCCTAAGCTTACCATGAGAAAATTCTAATAGGCAACCTCTTTTGAGTAAGCAAATGCCATTCAAAATTGTTAACTACAGCATTCAACGCTAATTGGTGGTGGTGGTGGTGGTGGTGGTGGTGGTGGTGTGCCATGAAGTCCGTTCCGACTCATAACGACACTGCATAGGGTTTCCAATGCTGTAAATCTTTACGGGAGCAGAAAGCCTCATCTGCTCTGGTAGTTTTGAACTAGTTAGCAGCCTGACTTGTAACCACTACGCTCCTTTTAACACTAACTACTACTACTTTTTCCGTGATGAAGAAACTTATGAAGATTTTGCCCATGTGAATGAAGTTATGCTGCAATGTGGAATGGCCAATTCATTTACTAAATATAGGCCCCTATTTGCCCAAGATGACTTTGTTCAAATAATTCACACTCAGAGGTACCTGACATACATACTCTCAGCTCCAAGAAGTTAATCATAGATAAACCAGGATTCAAACTATGACCATCTTCCCCTTTCTGGTCTTCAGGAAAGCCTGGATTACATACAAAATAGCAGCTTCTTCCCCCCGCTTCCATGACAGAAATAAAACTTTGGAGACCCATAAAAATGATGAGGTGGGGGCAGCTGACCTCTAACTTTACAGAGAGGAAGGAGAATCAAGATCATCAATCCACAGCTGGGGCCAGACACTCACATACCTCCTCCAACCATTTTACCAGTTGTGACACAAGCATTGCCTCCCCGGGCACTCTCTACTCCTCTGCTGGACTCCATAATTCCATACTTGCAACAGCTACATGGAATTCAGAAGATACTCACAATTAATGGGGCTTATTACTGATGAGACAGGTTACAGACCAGGTCAGGAAAGATGTACAGTTTTTTAATCTGTACAGTCTCTTCTCTGACTTGTCCGTAGGCAGGCCTTTCTCTGACCCTTAGACCCCTGGAGCCTCTCTGGCTGGGCTGGCCTGGCCTTCCTTCCAATGAGGCAAGTACTATGAGACTTCATCAATAAGTGCCTGGAGGCCCACTGTGCTGTCTCCCAAGAGTCTCCAGGTTTGGCTGCTTCTGCTGTCACCACGACTCTGCCAAAGCTTCTTGCTGTCTCCGGTATGACAGCTGTCTCCTGGAACCAGAACCTTCTCAGTGCAGGGATCTTGGGTCCATAAAATGTACTCCGCTTCCACATCTTCTTTCTTGGTGGTAGTCTGGTCCCCTCGTCCGCTTCTGGAATGGCTCTTTTAAAGCATAGCGGGATGGTAAAAGTGACCAATCCCCTCAATAGGGTTCCATATACTTTATTTGCATGCCTCTACCTCCATATGGTGGGAGTCCTGGGGTGGCATTATGGGTTAATGCGCTGGACTGCAAAGTCAGTTTGAACAGCAAAATCGGTGGTTCAAGCCCACTAGCTACTCATTGGAAACCCTGTACAGGGTTGCCATAGGTTGGAACCGAAACCACCACCTCCATATGGGTGCATCATTAGAAAGCTGCCCAGCCCCCTTAGACACTAGCTCTCTAGTGCCGCTCTAACAGAACTACAGGTAGATAGCTTTACCTAATGAATCTGTGTTCTCAGGTTAGGATGGCCAAGTTTAGGGAGCCGGATCTAATGGAAGGCTTTCTCTATCTGCTCTGGGGTAAGGTCCTTGTCTCCTTTCAGCATCTCTGAGCCCAGAGTTCCTTGGAGACTTACACAGGTCATAGCATCAATCTTCCCCAGGTCTACAAGGGTCTCAGTGCCCAAGGATGCATTCTGTTCCTAACTCTGCTTCCTTGGTGGTACTGAGGTCCTCTGCTTGCTTCTCTCTCCTTTTACCTTTTGTAAGATAAATAGTGATGCAGGCCATACCCCATGGAAACTCCTCTTACACAGAGAGGATCAGGGCTATGACTTGAACGAGAGCGTTGAATCCTATGTTAATCCTGCTTCATTAATAAAACAAATATAATTCAATCATCATTAACATAGGCTAGTCCTGTCTCGTTACCACATAAAAGTCAGGATTCATAATACATCACAAATGAAGGATAATTATGTCAGATCATATCACGGGGGATGATCATTATTACATTACATAACTTCCACATTACATCCTAACATAATTATTAAACTACATCATCACATAACTGCCAAACCACTGAAAATCATAGCCGAGCCAGGTTGACACATATTTTGGGAAGACATGATTCAATCCATGACTTTGATGGGTGATAAGTACCTCATTTGCATATCCCATACCATCATTTGGTGGGAGTTACAAAGACTGGTTACAAGGACCATGTTTAGTAACTCACTGCACCACAAGACCATTAACAAGTTTCTCCTTCCCTAAGTTCCAACTCTACTTAACAATGTCTCATATAGCTAAACCTGGAAGAGTAGCGGGCGGATGGAGTCTGGCCTATTATTTATATAGCCTTTACTCAAGTCTCAAATTATATGATAGGCAGCATGGAGCAACAGTTATGAATTCCAGGTGCCAGATGTGAAAGTACTTCAGAGTCTGGTAAGAGGTAGTTACTTCACAAATCTAAGCTTTGAGAGGGGAAAACTAGGTCCAAGCAGATGGCTTGCATTCAGCACAGTCTGACCTTTAATAAATACTTCTGGACAATAGTTTGAAAGATCATTTCTGACAGGTGATCTGAGCATTTTGGAGGATCTCAAAATGCATTCTGGCATTTAATTGTAAGGAAGAGATAATGAACAAAGTGAAGATGTCAATCAACTCATGTAAGGAGAAAAAAATCATCTCTATTTTCAAATAATGGGAAAGCAAAAGTTGGCTAAACTCCCAAAGACCTGAAAAAAGAGCCACTTCACATCATTTCTAGCTCTATACAATGCTACTGGAAAAAGTTAGTAAGCCATTATTTATATTATTTTAATTATTAATAGGTTAATCTTATTAATTTGGGTCAAATGCTATTCAGTAAGCCAGGAAATACTAAAGCTAGTCACGAGTGTCGTAGAGATGCATGAAAACCCATGTCCTAAGAATTTCCTTAGAGATTACCCCCACCTCTAGATTTCTACCTGATATACACGCCTCCCACTAGGAGATGAGAGTAAGGTGATGGACTGCCGGTCAACTAAGTCCAAGGCCTGGACGGCTGATGAGCCAAAGATAAACTTGAGCCTGGAAAATAGAAAAGCTTCAGATTAGGGGCACTGAATCACACAATGAACTTCACTAACTTGACCCAAAGGACCACCAGCCTCAACAATAAAAAAATTCAACTTAGTTTAATTTGAAAAAAGATAATAATACACTAAAATCCTATGTACCAACCTCCACCAGAACTATTGAATGTTAACATTGTTCATATACTTTAAATCAACTTTTTTAAACCAACAGGAGCTAACCATATTGCAAGAAAACCCCATTTGTTACTTCTTCCCTGGGAGGTGCAAACAGGGAAGCCCTTGGCTGCTAACAGAAAGGCTGGCAGTTTGTTTCCACCCAGAGGCGCCTTGGAAAAAGGTCTAGAGGTCTACTTCTGAAAAATCAGCTACTGAAGATCGTACAGAGCACAGTTCTACTCTGACACACATGGGCCTCAATGGGTAGGAAACAACTTGATGGTAGCTGGAACAACTAATATACTTCTTCCTAGTGCTTTTTTTAAAAATATTTCTCTCCATCCTTCCTTCATTCCTGAGTCAACCACTATCATTGCTGATTTCCTTCCTACTAACGTTATTATAGGAGCTCTGGTAGTGTAGTGGTTACAAATCGGGCTGCGAACCTTAAGGCCAGCAGTTCGAAACTACCAGCCGCTCCGTGGGAGAAAGATAAGGCGTTCTGTTCCTGTAAAGATTTACAGCCTCGGGAACCCTGTACAGGGTCGCTATGGGTCGGAACCGACTCGACGGCACTTAACAACAACAACAACAACATAGGCTTCTTTTAAGCAACTTGTTTTTCTCTACTCAATGTATTTTTTTCCTCCATTCCTGATGCCATCTTTTCCTTCATGTAATCCAGCTTCTTGAATTATTTGATCTTGGTACAGATTGAATAAGTATGGTGAAAGAATACAACTCTGACAAACACATTTCCTAATTTTAAACTATTTGGTGTTCCCTGTTCAAACAACTGCCTCTTGGTCTGTGCACAAGTTCCTTCCTCATGAGCACAATTAAGTGTTCAGTCTACTCAATGTATTTTTGCAAATGATGCATTGTTTACATATATTTCTTTTTATTCAACTTCTGAAAAAAAAAATCCCATCTTTTGTACATACTATATTTTAAAGTACCCTTTGGCATTGTGGGTTAATTGCTGGACTGCAAGGTCGGTTTGAACAGCAAGGTCAGCGGCTTAAACTCACCAGCCACTCCTCAGGAACCTTATACAGGGTCTCTAAGAGTTGGAACCGATGCAATGGCATTAACAACACAAAGGTTTTCAATTGTGTGGATCATGACAAGCTATAGACAACACTGCAAAGTATAAGTATTCCTGAACAATTAATTGTGCTCATGAGGAATCTGTACATAGACTAAGAGGCAGTTGTTTGAATGGAACATGGGAATACTGAATGGTTTAAAATTAAGAAAGGTTTGCGACAGGGTTGTATTCTTTCATCGTATTTATTCAACCTGTGTGCTGAGCAAATAATCTGACTCATAGTGATCTTGTATAAGGTTTCCAAGGCTTTAAATCTTTGCGGGAGCAGAAAGCCTCATCTTTCTCCCTTGGAACAGCTGGCGGGCTCAAACTACAGACCTTGTGCTTCACAGTCCAGTGCTTATCATATGGATTAGTAGTAAGGTTAAAATGTTGAATGGTATATCAGGAAAAAATTTAACATGTGAGAAATTTCTTATGATAGAATGTTAGGTTGGGCATAAAACTGCATATTTAAAAACATGCAACCATGTTAACAATTGTTCTTTACAATCTATAATTATCTCAAAATAAAAAGTTTAATAATTAAACAAAGACAATAAACCAAAATGTTATCAGTGATGATCACTGCTTGGCATGATTATTGATAATTTTAATGTTTTTATTTCTAAAAACGTTTTTTTAAAATAATAAGTTACTTTTTAAACTGGAAAAGAAAATGGCTGGGTTGAACGTTTATCTTTTAAAGAACCCACATAGAAGAGGAAGTCAAAAGTACTAAGGTTTTAAATTTTAAATGTTCAACTTCTTCATTTTCCAAAAACTTGTCTCATATACAACAAACTATTGGTGAATGTTGTTGTTAAGTGCTGTTGAGTTGGTTCCGACTCATAGTGACCCTTTATAGGGTTTCTGAGTGGTTGGTGGTTTGAACCACCAACCTTGCATTTAGCAGTCCAGTGCTTATCCTACAGCACCATACCAGGACTTCATGGGTAAACAGGAAAGACTTTTATTTATTTTTTTTACATTGAAGATATCAAAGGTTAGACCATGAAAATAGAAAAAATGTGGTGATAACCTTATTTAGAAATAATCAGTTAATTTAAAAATATGGCTCTAAACCTTCTCTGTCCACTTTATAACATATTGTGAACATCTTCTGAATGCACTAAATATTTTTCTATATCATTTTTAATGGCTGCAAAGAATTCCACTGTAAAGAGGATGAATTACACTTTATTTCCGCCCCCTCCCCCCCAACTTCCTTTTTGGACAATCAGAATGTTTCTGGGTTTTGCTACCATAAACAATACTGGAGTGACTATGCTCAGTGCAAAAGCTTTATGAAAATCTATCATTACTTGCTTGGGATATAGTGCTATAAGTTGAATTTTTGGGTCCCAGAACATGTGCATTTTAGAACTCTTCTTGCTGTGGTGGTGCAATGGTTAAGTGCTTCACCGCTCCCAAAAGGTCAGCAGTTCAAACCCATAGTAGCTCCCTAGGAGAGCGAGACCTGGTAACTGGCTCGTGTAAAGACTAGTCTAGGGAACTTGGTGGGGCAGGTTCTATTCAGTCACCACCTCAAGTCACTATGAGTTGGAACTGACTGGATGGCACATAACAACAACAACAACACTGTCTAATCTTCCAAGTTATAGTTGTACCAGCAGGGTTTCAGTGATCTCTTTCCCCATATTCTTGCCAAAATCTGCAATTATCTTTTTTTGTTGTTCCCAGTTTTACAAAGGAAAAGTTACCTTATTATTTAAATTTTTGGTATTTTTATGGTTGCTAGTAAGATTTATCTTTTGTTTACAGAGTTTTTGGCCATTTATATTCTTTGTCTATTTTCTTGTTTTTAAAGTAGTAATATAAAAAATAATGTAAAATATTTTACAAACAGAGAAAATTCCCTAAATTCTATCTCCCTTCCACCTGTGTAAGATAACCACTAGTATGTGGTTGTTAAGTGCCGT